AAATAATAAAACTAATAATCTGGGATGCTAACTCTGCTATGAGTTTCATCAAAGTTGGATGAGTAAATAGGGGTAATAATAGGTGCGAATAGTCCAAACATTATCTAATTCATCCTCAGTCTAATCACGTGCTTGAGGATTCTTAATTGGTTTCAACAATTCAACTGCTGCAAGACGTGCTTCATCATCTTGTTGTACCATTTTGGGTATATCCCAAAATACTTCATTAATTAAAGTTTCAGATACCATTTCAGAATGTATTTGTTCAAGATTGTATCCCACAATACATTCATGATCTAAGTTGGTAGTAATGATTGTTTCACAAAGGGTACAATTGACAGAATACTCTTGAGCAAATTCCTCAAGTTTGCTACCATTTATTCGTTTGATGGTAGTTTGCCTAAGTTCAGCAGCTTTTAAGAAAATATTGTGCAAGTCCTGTCTCCAATCTTGTCATCTTCCATCAAGAATTGATTTCATTTCTTTTTTGCTGAAGTTGAATTCTGATCCACTATTATTTTCTAATTGTTCAGGTGATTGTTTATTTTCTGCTTCCTCTTCATAAGCTGTCATATTTAAATATACGTAATATTCACGTTCATTACAATGACAAATAGTTTATTCTGTTGGTGAGGATATATAGTTTCCATATGGATTGACATATTAATAACATTCTGTGCAATACCAATAAGAATGATGATCATTTTCATTGCAACCGTAGCTGTTTTTTCGATACTTTCGGTTATTATGCAATCCATTCTATTGCCATTTCGTTTGGCATTCAGGAACATTTAATGCAGAAAAATGTACTTGGATCCATCAATTATTTTCTTCTAAGTCTTCTTCATATTCAGGTGATGTAATATTTTCTTGGATTTCTCTTTCTGTATCTACAAAATTTTTTCACTAGCAATTGAAAGTGTGAAGCATTCGATTACTTTATCTGAGCTTTCATCATTTTCATAGTTAATTCTTGATAATGCGTCAGCATTTGCATTATTTTTTCCAGATCGATACTGAACTTGAAATGTGTATTATTGTAAATTCAACAACCATCTTGCTCTTTTCGTTCTATTCTTCACAGTAGAAGTTTGTAACCATTTTAAAGCAGGATTATCAGTCACTAAAATAAAAGATTCAAGCGAAGTGAAATGGTAAAAATATTCGACTGCCCAAATAATCGCTAGTCATTCTAATTCTTGTGTACTATAATTTTGTTCATGATCATTCAAAGTTCTACTTGCATAAGCAATCACTTTTTCTTTTCCTTGGTCATCTTTTTATGCAAGTACCGCTTCAAGTCCAATTCCAAAGGCATCAGTAAATAAATAGATCATTCTATTGAAGTCTGGATATCCAAGTATTGGGGCTTGTGTTAACCTTTTTTTAAGATTTTAAAAGAATCTTTACATTCATTGCTCCAATTATAGTAGACTCCTTTCCTTGTAAGATTATTTAATGGTTTCACAATCTTAGAGAGATCTTTGATAAATTTGCGATAGTACGATGCTAATCCCAAAAATCCTTTAATTTGTCTCACATTCTTTGAAACAGGGAAGTTTTGTACTTTTTCTATTTTCTGGGGATCGGGTTGGATTCCATATTCATTGATTTTATGTCCTAGAAATCGTAATTCTCTTTTGAATATTTCACATTTCTCTTTGTTTAATGCTAGATTTGCAGTTTCCAATTTATCGAAAAGCATTTGTAAATGTTCGCAATGTTCTTCAAAACTGTTTGAGTAAACAATAATATCATCAATAAATACTGCTACAAATCGATCAATGTATTCTTTTAATACTTTGTTCATTGTTTTCTGAAAGGTTGCTGACGTATTGCATAATCTGAATAGCATAACATTAAATTCGTAATGTTCTCCCTTGATAACAAATGCAGTTTTTTCTCTATCCTTTTGATTCATTTCGATTTACCAGAATCTACTTGCTAGATCAAAAGTAGAAAACCATTTTGATCCATTCAAGCTTTCTAATATCTCATCAATTCTTGGTAAAGGGTATGCATCTTCTCTAGTGAGTTTGTTTAATCCTCTATAATCAATACATAGACATTTTTTGCTATTTGCCTTTTTCATAAGGATAGCTGGAGATGCCCAGGGACTGTCTGATTCTTGAATAATTCCCTATTTCAACATCTTTTTAATTTCTTCATCGATGAAATCTTGTTCTTCTTTTGTAGTTCGATAATAATTTCTTCTGATTGGGTCAGCATTTTAGGTATCAATTTGATGTTAGGTTACATTAGTTTGTCTAACTTTTGTCGATTGCCCTGTTTCAGAAATGTTGGTCACGAATCTACTTTCATTTTTTTTGATTAAATTATCAATTTCCTCTTGTTATTTCATAGTGAACTTTTCATTTTCAACTTCAGGTTGAATAATTTCTGCAATATTACATGGTAAAGTATCCCATATAATTCTGTTCAGAATTTTATCTATAAAATTGGTATGTGTAGGAGTGGTTTTCTCTCGTTTTGCCATATCCTCATATTTTAAAAAGTCAAAATGAATCCATGGTCCATTTTTGTCTTTTTTGATTTGCTCCAATTCTACATCTTTTGGTACTTTTGTAATGTAAACATTGCAATTAAATTCAGGGTTATTGAATAAATATTCAAGATCTTTATCTTTGAAGATTATTCCTGTTTCCTCTTCAGTTTCCCTAATTGCTGCTTTTATTGGGATTTCTCCTTCATCTACTTTTCATCCAGGAGTTTGCCATAGTCCTTTTATAATTTCTCCTTTTCTGATCGAGAGAAATATGCCATCTTGGTCATACAAAATATTTAAAACATATTTTGGATTCTTTGCTTCTTCTTGTAAGAAACTTCTTTTATATTCTTTCATTTTATCTGCCTAGGATTGAGTAGAGGTTTTACTTTCGTTATTGACATCACTTTGATAATCTGAAGTTTCAATGTGATAACTTTCTCTTTCTTCAGCGTCATTATTAGTATCATATTCCAATTCTTCATTAATCATTTGGTTGATTTCTTTATCAAATACAATAGTTGGTGTTCTATTTCCTATGACACATTGTACTGAAACAATAACTTTATCAAGACCGCTGGTTATGAGCATTTCATTATTGTCAAAGTCTACGTTAACTTTATTTTTCTTGCATCAATCTATTTCTAGTAATAAGGTTTCATCAGTTGATTCGATGACTTGAAAGGTTGTTTTGATAAGAATTTCATGAATAATCAAAGGTACATTTTTGATCACTCCTAATACTCTTTCTCTTTGTCCATTAGCTGTAACAATAATCACTTGTGATGCTTCTTGAATTGTCAATCCAAGTTTTTTCATTAGCTTTTTTGTTATAATGCTAACTGCTGCTCCAGTATCAATGATTGCTACTACTGAGTTCTGTTTAATGTTAACATGACATCTCAATACCATAGTTCTTTCACCTTCTTCTGTTGGATTGGTTTGTGCCATAATTTCTTCTAATTTTGGTTGTCTTATTTCTTGGAGAAGTTTTCTTTGTTGCTATCTGCATTGCATCATTTGTTCAATGTTAACATTTGCTTTTACATTAACAAGGTCATCCCAAATGTTATATGGTTCGATATTATCCAAGATTGATGGTCCTCTTGGAATTCTTCTTCTTGGTATAGTAGTGTTATTGACTATAGTCTCAGGAATTTCTTCAGTAATATCCATAAGTTCGTTTGGTTTACTTCTGGTCTTCCTGTTTGTAGTTTCTCTTTGAGATTCAGATCTTTTTCTTCTAATTGTTGGAAAGACTTCTTGTTCAAGCATGTTTACTTCTCTTTTGTTTGAGTTATTATTCTTTGTACGCCAACTTTCTTGAGGCATAACTTTTTCTGAAAGGCATCTTCTTGCGATATGTCCTTTTTCTTCGCATCTAAAGCAGATTACTTCTTTCCTGTCGAAGTTTCTTTCAAAGTTAGGTTTCTTTCTTTTAACATTATTAGTTGTCAAGGCTGACATAATATTGACTTGGTTTAATGCCATCTGTTCAAACTGCTTAGTTAATTTTTCAAGGTCATCCTCAACTTTTGGCTTGCTAAAATCATGTTCTGTCGTATAATATCTTCCTGCTTCAACAGTTTTTGCTTGAGTGATTGCAACATCTAATGTATTAGGATTTTGAATAGCTATCAAGGTTGCTAGCTCTTTATTTAATCCATTTAAAAATATTCACACTTTAAAGGCGTTAGTGATTCCTCCTGCATCCACTCTATTTGCTAATTTCTTGAATCTAGATGCGTAGGTTTCAACTTTGTCTCTTCCTTGTTTCAAGTTCA